AAGAAAGAAAGAAGGAAAGACAGAATGAAAGACGAAAGAAAGAAAGAAAGAAAGAAAGAAAGAAAGAAAGAGGAGGCTATGCCTTTTCTTTTAGGACCTTAAATAAGACCTCTAATTTATTTCAACTAAGTCACCTTGCAATCAGAAATATCAATTAATACGTTGCCAGGCCAGTGGTTCTACTTACTCAGTTGACAGTCTCCAGAACCATCTAATTTTATACGAGTCAAAACATTATTTACTCAACAGAAGGAGTCAAAAGATCTATCAGAGGGTTTAAAATACATTGTGATCTGATAAACCATGCATATAACAAGCCAAGTTTAGATCAACTGGTACATCAGTGATATATATTAATGCTTTGTGCTATGCCACCAGTTATAGAAAGGAATTCTCTTTCTGGCCAGGGTGCCTTTGGAAATCCTTTTTTAAATGTCTCACTTTTTTCTTTTGCTTTAGAAAAGGAAGAATATTGGAAGACTTCAAACCGTGATACTTAGAAAGAAAACACAAATATGGTAAGTGTTTTTCATTTAATCTGATTAGCAAATGCCTTTTAAAGAACAACAAAACCTTTCTGCCATGCTTAATTGGTGATGTGGGTCTGTGGAAATTCAACACTTGAACCAAATTTTAAATGTAATGCTCTTAATGTTAAATCAGGACAACACAGTAAATCAAGAAAACATCTATTTTATGAAGAAATATTTACTAGTTGGGAAAGTCAAAGGATATGAAGACCAAGACTATATTTTGATTAAATAGTTAAAAAGATAAGCTTTAAATTTTATTACATTTTTGTTGAAAAATCTTAGAACTTGCCTGTGTAGATCTACTTGTATATTCCCATTTGAGGTGTTGACCTTCACATTGGCCAGGCATTTATGTTAAAATGACTGGAGGTAGTCACCTAAATCTTTACTCACCATTTATTGAAAACGACAGTACACATTTTGAAGGCACATAGTTCAGAAAGTCTCAATCATAATGTTTATAACCTGTGGGTATGAAAGCTATTCCTCCTGTGTGGAGTGGATTTGTTGTGCATTTTTCTGCTGAAAAGGATTTAAAATGTTGGAGGGAATAGAGAAGTATAAGTGGGGGCTGGAGTGGAAGGGAGCAGAACTGCTGCTGTCATGCAGTGCTGGATAGAATTCATGTGAAATGCAAGGAGTAGAAACGTGGGGTTTCATATTGATAGACCCAGTTGTGGGGTTCTGAGCTGTCACACCAAACCATACAGGCTCAGTTAGTTTACACTGGCCATTGACTTCCACAGAGAAATAATTGACCTGTCTCAGGGTTTGACTCAGAGGAAAGGGAAGCAGGGAAAATGAGTGGCTGAGGCAGGTGAAGAGAAAGGGCTCAGCAGGGAGAACTTCCAGTTTTCCCAGCTGCAATCAAGATGATAAAGTTGAAAATCCAAGAGCCAGTGGACAATCTGAGTCCCAAAATGAGCACTCTGAGGACAGTCTCTTGCAGGTGCAGTGACTTTCTGTGTGCTCCCACGGGCTCCTTTCAGTTGTGTCATTGGAATTACTACGGAGGGGTAACAGGGCTCCAAACAGGATTGTTTCCTGGACTTGGAAAACTCAGGAAAGAAACTCCACACATACCGAATGCCTCCTGATCCTGAAATACTTGGTGTCTATTTCTGAGACACAAGAGAAAATCTTTGGATCTTCTGCAGAGATGTGAAGCTCTCCCTGGTCTAGATCCTAAGATGCAGGATTTGAGGAAGCCAAAGATTTACATCAGAAAATATTTGATAAGGAATATATTACTAGTCTCTAGTTTTGTTCTCTTTATGTTGATCAATATATGTCCAAAGAAGTTATAGCAAAGTCAAGCATGCTATTTGAATCTTTAATTTATCAAAAATTAATTTTAAAAAATTTAAGCTTCTTGAAATATAGCTATAAACATAAATTTATTTGATAATCCTTGAGCTTTTAAATTTAATTTCAAAATATATATACTTAAATTATGTTTTTAAATCCATTTAATTCCACTTGTCAAATGGTATTTCTTCTAACTTTCTGTGGGTTTTTAAGAAAACATCAGAAATCATTATAATAACAGAATCTGTTTTTCTGTTACTTGGGCAAATAGTTCTGTATCCAGTCAAAGTCAGCTGTAAAACGATTGGTGTGGGAAGTTTCAAAAATGAAGATTTTAAAACTGTATGTGTTGTTATTAACTATCCTAAACTAAAACTTTGCCAAAAGATAACACAATTTGACTTGAAAATGTCCAGACATTTTAATTCCAAATACTGGATTCTTGCGGGGTCATTACTGATACAACACACTGGAAATTACAAGTGTTTGTAATGGCTATAAATGGAACATTTCTAGGTTCTTGCCTATTATAATTCTGCAGGACTATTATAGTTATGAACAGACTATTTTAATGCTTATGGTTATTATAAACACAGAACACAACACAAACAGGTTTATCATGGTGATGAACTATTTAGAACCTCAAACTTCAACAAGAGGTCAGGAAAAATTATAAAGACCACATAATTTGCCTCTCAAAAAAGTGATTTTTAATCCAATTCCTGCTTGCAACAAAGCAACCACTTGTTCATGAGACAAATAAGCATTCCTTTCCTTCATTTTATTAAAAAAAGAAAAAAAGAAAAGAAGTTATAATCAAAGGAATTTAATTGATAATATTGATACTGTCTCTTAAAAAGCCAGTTTGCCTGGCTGAATTTGCTACAAGCTAGAAGCACCTAATAGTGTTTGTATTGAATTGTTTGTATTTGCAGAAGTTATCTCACATTTGGACACAATATTTTTTGACAAGTCTATTGGCTAAAATACGATGTGTAACTGTTTTCTGGGGAGATTGGTGTTGCAAGCTGACTCTCCTGTAATCTGCCTGCTTTGGGGTGTCTGCACTGGGCCATGGGGTGAGCAGAAGCTGCTGTGCCAGTCGGATCCTCTTGAAATGCTCTGTCTTTTCCTGAGACAGTCTCAGGAACAATCTCACTTAAATCTCCAGGGCTTCTCTCAAATTCATTCTGTGAATTCTAGGAATAATGTTGCTGCTCTAGAACCTTGCCCAGGAGCTGAAAAGATCTCTGTATTATTTCCTATAAAAACAAATATGTTTGTGTAAAGTGGGGAGTATCCAGTGCCTCTGAAATGATAATTTCTGACTGGGACCAGTGATCATATTTAGTGGTGTCCTGGAGACTTGCTGACAAGAATGACAAGAAAGCCTTCATCAGGCAGACATAGGTGATGAATCACTGCTACCTCCTTCCCTGTCCAAGAAAAAGGCACAGCTAAATGCAATGGAGGCTTGGCACAAGCGGCTGCTCTACTGTTTCTGCTTCCAAACGATATACAGTTGCTCTGGCTTCCCCTTTCAAGCTTGAAGTTCTAAATGGAAGCAGTTTGTTCTGTGCTGGTAGACCAAATAAACAAGGAAACATTATCCCAAAAACATTGACCCAAAGCCTTCTGCAGTGAAATAGGAGCATCCAAATCACTCATACTAAAAAAATCAACAACAAAATTGGCAGCACTTTGCACCACTCCAGTGTCAGTAAACAGAAACAAAAGATTACTAATTTGTGGCAATTTTTCTTTCCTAAATAAAGTAAATATTGACTTAGGAGACCTCTGGGAACATGAGGAGTCACTGGGTTTCTCTACAAAGGAATTGTGTGTAGGGAGCAGCAGTGATTCCATTTTTCAGACAGTTATGAGGTTTTGATTGCTCAGATCATGCAGCTCACTTTCTATCTCCAAAATTTTTTTTAATTCTAATACCAAGGTTGAGACTTACATTACAGAAAATTAAGAGTTATAATCCTTCAAGGACTCCAAGCTCTGATTGCTCACATACAATTTCTGTGGAACTTCTTAACAACATCTGCGAGAGAAATTTAGCTTTCAACCTGTCCAAGACTCTTTGACCACTGTGAATATTTTATCCCCTTGATGAACAGAGATGTCCTGTACTTGATGTAGTTGATACAAATGTCACAGATTCACTCCCACTTTGACACATTTCAGTCTTCGCTTCACCAAATATCTGTTGGTTGCTTACAGCACAAAAGAGATCTTATAGAATCCTGCTTCTCTGGCTTTTGGTAATACATGTGAAATTGTAAATATTGTCCCAAATTAAATAACAAAAGCTGCAGAGTACTGTCCAATCATCTTTACTGAACAAAAATACCTGTGTTGCAAAACAGTCCCATATTTCTGAGTGATAACTAATAGCAGAAACAGCTGTATGTAGCTTGAATGTACCAGGCACAGTTTATGCCTCAGTGTTATTTTCTTCCCAGCTATTCTTTGCAGAGTGCTACTACAGGAATAGAGAAAACAGCATGTACTGACAATTGTTTAGGCACGAGGCCACAGGCTGTCCCACCCAGCTGCTGGGGGGGTCCTCTGTTGTGCCCCTTCCCTCCTAGCAGTCACTGCTCACATCCCTTTCATGGCATGCCTCTTGTGCCCTCTGAACATATTCAAATGTTTCTTTTCCTCCACCGTCCACACCCCTATCTTCCTACTGCCTGGAAGTTGGATTTTTCTTTTTTTGCTCTCAAATCTTACTCCTCGTAAAGCGAAGGACTTTAATGTGCAGTAAGTGGGGTAGAGATAGAACGGAGTAACAGGACAAAATCAGTCTGGCTCAATAGAAAGGGACTTCTTCATGCTGTTTCTGATTTTCGTATCAGCCCATTTTTATTTCCACTCACAGTTATATTCCAGTAACAACAAACTTGGTTTTGTGAATTTAATGCCAGTTCCCACCACACCCTTAAAAGAGACCATCCATGTAATTTTCACCGTTAGTTTTCCCTTCTGCTGAATCCCAATCCCCCTGAAAGAACAGGTCCCTCCTCCCCACCTCTGTTTACATGAGCACCTTTCTTTCTTTCTTTACGATCAGGTCAGCCTGCGCTTGGGATAAGCCATTACCCTGAACAATCCCACATGGAAATTTGCAAAGAAGCCAAGAGTGCTCACCATGAAGTGCTGTGACCAGGCTGTGTGTGAGCCTCACTTCTGGTCCTCTCCTGTGCCTCTTTGTTCTCCTCAGTGCAGGCTGCTACCTTTCTGCCTGCTCTTTACGAAATAGTAAGAAGGCTAATTTTAGGGTGCTTCATCATGCTGCCGTGCAGAGGCACAGTGTCATGTCAGAACCAGCAGCATGTGGCACCACTTGCAGCTATTTTATAAGCTGAGGTTCAGCGTGTTACCAAATCGGTCTCTGCAGGACACAGCCCGCTCAATTATTGATATTGTGTTCCTGAAGGATTGCATCTTAAAAATCAAAGGTCACTTTTGGCCTGACCCAAAGCCCAGTTTAATGACATGGGAACTGGTGTTTCAGCATCCATCTCTTAAACCAAAAAAACCCATGTAATGGGAATTTTTGTGCTCAGTTAGCACCGGGCCTGCTGATCTATTTATAACAGGAAAAAATACATGAAATAGTGTGAAACATCACTTCAATAGGAAGAAAATATGCCACATGTGGGAAGGGGCTGCACTCCCAACACTCTGTGTAGGATGCTCAGAAATGTTCAGCATCTTCAGCCCCAACCTGCAGGTGCCTCAGCACTTGTGTGGCTGCTGCCATACTGCCAGGGCACAGGGGAGTCACTCAGTGCCAGCTTGTGTGGGATGGGGACACTGGATCCACACAACGCTTTGTGAATGCAAGAGCTTCATCCCTAACACAAAAGTCAGCTTGTTTGCTTCATTATAGACTTCATGTCCAGGGCTCAGCCTCACCCTTCACTGCCTTTTCATTTTCTTTGCATTCATCATCCTATGAATAGCTTTCCTTTGGCTATAGTTTGTGGCCTGAGAGGATGAGGGGAGTGGGGGGGTTGCAGGTTTTTGGTTTTGCTTATCTTAATTTGAAGGTGTCTCCTCAGTTTTCCCTTAACCAGCTCCTTTTATCAGATGCCTTGGGTTAACCACAGGAATTGCAATGTTGTCAGTTGAGTATTTTTATAGTGATTTATGTTCACAAACAGGTAAAAAACTGTTCAGTTGGTTTCAGCATGTTGCCATCAGTTAATAAATGATTGGTCTTCCTGGTCAGCACATTTGCATTTGAGCTAACCAGAACTGTTTGTGAGCAGGGTGGGCAGAGAGAACTACAACACACTGAGCCATGGCAGAGCCATGAGCCATACATAAAACACATACTCTGTGTATGGGAGCTCTCTGCATGGATCCTGTGAAGAATCTGAGGATGAAATGTGAAACTGAAATGGCACAAAAGGGTATGACCATCCCTTGTTTGCAAGCCTATTTGCATTCTAAAGCCTTTTCTTTGTTCTAATCAAGAATATTCTACACAAAGGCTTCACACAAAGGTAGGTAATTTCTCACAGCAAAATGCAGACATCTCAAATTTCATGTTATCAGCTGTTCTGGACACCCATTTCTATTTTCTGTAGTGTGTGACACATCAAAGAATAAAGCAAAGGGGTTTGAAATGTGGAATTGAAGTTTATAAAGTATGTCCTGGCTGTTGCCAGGAGAAAATGGAGGCAGAGAGCAGAGTGTGTCTCTGTTATTAATTATACAGAAAGCTTTATGCCGTAACACTGTAGCCAAAATATATGTATATTATATATTAAGTCTATATTATGTTTTATACTAGAAACATGTATATTAACTGAAAGATGTTTTCTAGTAATTAAGCATAAAGGACGTATTAGTTAAGCCTAGATATGATTTTTTTCCCATTTTTGTATTATCTCAGTGGGGGATTAATTGGGGTACAATTTAAAAACCACAATTGTGCTGACAGCTATCACCAGGCAGTAGGAAAGCATTGCTATTTTAATTATGGCAGGGGAACTGAAAATAGTTTCTTGCTTGTTGTGACCATCAATAAGAAGACTGTGCAATGGTAATAGGAAACCCTCAGGGCTAAGGCACTTACAAGGAAATAAATTCCTTCCCTGAAGTTAAGCAGATTTACATTTCTTGCTTTCACTGGACTTTGCATCCCTGAGGGTTTTTTTGCAGGTACTAGAATGGACATGGGGAATTTTGAGGCACGAGCACCTCACAGTTCCCCTGAGCACTGCACCTGCAGAAGGCCACTGTGGCAGGCTCAGGATGGCTTGTTCTGCGTGGCAGGGAGCCCAGGCAGTGCTGGGGCACACAGCACACCTCCTCTGCCCCACTGCCTGTGGGCCTTCAGCCCCAGGAAGGGGATCCCACAAGGCACTAAGGCATGGTAGGGAGGATATTGCTTCTATTGCTTCTCTGGCACAAAAAAAAGCAAATTTGCTAAGATATATGATATGCGTGTGAAAAACGCCGATCACTTGTTTTTGAAAATTTTAAAAGTTTAATAGTAATAAAATAGTTATAAAAATAGTAATATAATTAGAATAATAAAATTTGAACATTTGAGATTAGGACAATATGAGACAATAAAAACAAAGAGATGCGGACGTCCGGGTACCTTTTTCAGGGCAACACGAGCCCGAAAAAGGACCCTTGTTAACAGAGGATTAACCCTTAAAAACAATTGCCTGTTGCGTATTCATACATCTCATACATGATGCATAAATTCCATTCAAACACAGGATTCTGTCTGGTCACTGTCAACTTCTTCCTCTTAATCCTCATGCCATCTTCTAGTCTGAGCGAGGTGGGAAGAAGTTAGTTTTCTGCTGATAAGGGAGCAATAAATTCCCTTTCTCTGAAAGATTTAGGTGTCCTGTGGCTCCTATCTGGTGCGAGTCTTTTCGTAAACAAATATCTTGCATAGCATAGTTTCTATTTTAACATTATGTTATAACCTATAACTAATACACCACTTAAGAAAATTAATATAGCATAACTTTCTAGCATAATACAATATTCATTTTAATACTTGCAAAAAGCCAATCATAAAATACACATTTTTCATATGTGGAATAAAAATATGGCTTGTACATTATTTGAAGACATACTTGAATTATTCAATTTACAGTAATCTGATGTTAGGATTAATATAATTCTTTAAAATAAAATAGCTATGTCTATTGCAGAAGGATGTTGAGATTTGTGCAACACTGTGTTGTTTTATGCTTTATATATTTTTAATTTAATGTGTTAAGCCAGTTATACCAAGTGACTTTTCCTTGTATAAAATTATAGTGGGCATATAATGTTCTCTTCAAGTACTTGGGCATATCCCCACACCCTGGTCAGAGGACACATTGCACAATGAATGCCAACATTTAAAATCCATTTCACTGTGTGTTAGTTATTCACAGTTACTACCCCGTTGGGTTCACAAATAAAGGAAAAAGGAAGTTTAGGCAAGAATAAATGAAATGTTTTCCTCCATTTGCTCTGTGTCACAGCTCCTGCTAACCTTTCAGTCTTAGATGCAGAATGGCAAAAGGCAAAACACTCACATTTCTCCTTTAAATAGCAAAACCGGGCATTTGTTGCCCTGAAAAGTGCTGCATCATTTAGCTTGTGTCAGCTATGCAGCAATCTCATTTTGTCTAGGTATGAATTTCATATTTTTGGTTTGGATCTTTACTGATAAATCTACAACCACAAATCCTGAGAAGTCCTGTAGAATTTTACCTATTTACATATACAAGAGTGTTTAACGGCTAGACCAAGACATCCCATTTAGTGGGATTTTGTTAAATGATCTCCGTTTAACAAAAGGGCAAAAGGACACCAAACACAGAACTTTCCTCACACACAGTTTGCAAAATCACTTGCTGTGACGTACGCCTGGTCCCGGCCTTTATTCACTTCCCGACCTACATAAAGGTGGATCCTTCTGGAAAGAGGCTGCTAAATAAGGAAATCTCATTTGGATTACCAATCCATAAATTGCAATGGATTTTCCTCCCAGTACCAAGCACAATACTAGGGAAAAAAAGAAAAAAAAAAGTTAAGAAATGTATCTGGCGTGTAAACTTCTCCTTTTGCGGCCTCCACTAGAGATACGTGTTGAGTGAAAAAAAACCCAACTTTTCTACTGTGCCCATCTTGGGTATGGACACTAAGAGAAGCTTGTGACCAAACTGGAAGATTCCAAAAGCTGAAATCTTTCTGCGGAGGGGCAGCGAGGGCCAGCCGCCCCCCGGAGCGGGAGGCCGCGCAGGGCCGGGGCTCAGCGGCCGCACGCCCTCCCTCAGCCGCGGGGAACCGCTCCGCGGCCAACCGCGCGTCACTGCGGCGTGAACAACAGCCCGTTCCTGCAGCCCCGGCGGATCCAGCTCCTGCCCGCTCACTGATCTCGCTCTTTTCGTGCCCTCACAGATCGAGCACAGCCTTCCGCAGATCAGGAATCAGGATCAGCAACACGCGCCCAAGTGTCTGAAGAACTCTGCAAGGCAGACGGAACACGCCACACGAAGACCTCTTCTCAGGGAGCTCACTGCCCCAGAACTCACTCCAGTTCTTTAATTCTCAGTTTAAAAGCTGCGATGTAACACAACGAGGGCTCTGCCGCGCCCACATGGGTTCCCATGCCCAGAACGCGCACAGCTTCAGTCAGCACCGGAGGGAACGGCCGAGCTCCGCGCCCGGCGCTGCGCCCCCGAGCACACCGGCAGAACGAGAGCGTCACCCCGGGGCTCCGCGCTTCTCGGGCCGCTCCCACGCCTCGGTTCTGCTGTCACCTCCTCGCCCCGCCAACGGCGGGAACCGGCCCACGCGGTGCCGCCGAGCGCAACGTCCCTTCCGGAGCTCCGCCGGGCCCCGGGCGACGGCTCCGCTCCGCGTCCCCGCCCCTGACCACGAGGCCGGGCCGGCGGGAGGCGGGCGGTGGAGCGGGCGCTG